GTTGATTCGTTGAATAAAAGTCATGTGCATCTATCTTCTGTTGTTGGTATTATGATTATGATGTGTCATCATGGCCGCTTCGAACTACTGCTGCTGCTGTAGTCTAGCCTTATTTCTAATTTTCCAGGAGGAGATTGATATCTATCTTACCTTCAGCACAACAATGGTGTAAGAGCCCCGAAACATACTAATACGTGCACCCTGTGAGTGTCCGTCGTTTCCCATGCACTTTTTGAGGAATTAATTGCTTGGAAATTTTCTTGTCGAGAAGAAGAGGAGATACACCCAACACCACCCCCAATTTCTTATGAGAGGCCACGTTCAAATCTCGGCTGCTCCGCAACGACCATTCACGCACGAGGTGCTATGTAGTCTACATAGTAGGCACAAATATACCGTATATGACACAAGATAACACACCCCCTGGACCGATTTTCAAAGCTCGATTACTCCACGACGAAGAGGATGCATAAATGAAACAATACGTTTTCGAACAGCTCTCGACGAGACGGTTCCAACGCCGCCGTTTTCGGCGCTGTGACTCTTCCTGCTGTTGAGAAATCGAGCTTTGAAAATCGGCCAAGGGGGTGTGTTATCTTGTGTCATATACGGTATACCGATAATTTGGCCGAAGAATAGTTTCGATCGACGAGATCAATCATTGATTGCAAATGAACCCATCGTCGTTTATTTGCGGTAGGTACTCTCGTTGTGGAGCAATCAATCAGGTTCGCCAAAAAAATACGAGAACCCAACTACGCACTAAAACCTTCATATAGACTATATTTCGCTGTTGTTGTTGTGATTGATTGTATTATTTTACTAAAGTTTCCTCGCTGATGATCAAGTAAAAGGGGCGATGGTCTGTCTGTAGACTATGTATGTAGCGATATAAGAGTTTTTTTGTTGAGAGTGTTGGGGAGGTAAGCGGTACAAGTGTATGTATGCATGAAACTTATCATGTGAGTTGATTTCGCAGCAAGCAACATCAGGAACGCATCGTGAAAGAAAGTCGGTGAAATATATGAAGGTTTGTGAGAGGGCGCGAATCCCGCCAGGGGTATGATCGTACAACTGCTGCTGACCAGAAAAGCGTGTCAAGTACGTTGTTTCCATGAAGTTCTTGCTGTACAATAGTGTTTATTGAGTCACAGGCAGTTATTTCACTGCACACTCTATCGGCGAGCGCGAGATCAAAGAACACTCGTACGTCATGTTGTGGGCGACCTCACGACCGCACAATTCGAGGAGACAGACCAGACCGCATCTGTCTCCCCGGAAATCACACATGATGATGATGGTTGCATGAGCCAACCACCAGAGGACAAAAAGTGATCGATTTTTTTTTTTATATAAAAAGAAAAAAATGGGAAGAAAGGAGGAAACACAGGCCGCAGCAGCGAGAGAGCAAAAGGAGGGCAAAATAGAGCGATTGTTGAAAAAAATATCATCTCTGGGTGACGTTTGGTTCAGTGTGCACACTGCGACGCCGCCACCTAGGGGAAGCACCACTGACGCCGACATCGCACACCGCAGCAGCAGCAGAGGAAGCTCCTCCTGCCGTCGAGACTTGGGCGTGTGGCATCCCCGCTGTGGGGGCTGGGATGGAAGCGACGGCCGAGCAATTTGTTGAACCCCGCCCTACCTCACCGCGGTTGCTTGGATCGAGCCCTTGGGGTACAAGTACAGCTCCCGCTGCAGCAGCAAGCAGCAGGGGGGAGGGGAGGGATAGAGATAGCCCAGCAGCAGCAGCAGCGGCGGCGGTGGCAGCAGGGAGAGCCATGAAGGACGAGGTGTTGGGGAAGGGGACGGGTCCAGCGGGAGGAGGAGGGCCGTGGCAGGAGCAGCAATCGCAACCACAGCAGCAGCAGCAGGAGCAGGCAAGCAGTGGCGGTGGTCGAGCAGCAGGGACGGAGCAACACCCCAGCGCCGCCGCCGCCGCCGCCGCCGCCGCCACCGCGGCCGCCGCTGCCCCTTTCGAGACCAGCCAGCTGGACCCGAGGGCCCCCGTCCGCAAGGGCAAGTGGACGCCGGAAGAGGAGGTCTACACGACCAAGATCATCAACGACTTTAACAAGGGGCTGTTGCCTTTGGCGCCCGGGACGACACTGCGGTCGTACCTCAGCGAGAAGTTGAACTGGTAAGGGTATTGAAACACTCACACGAAATAGTTGTGGTCGTACAGTAGAGTATTGCAGAAGCAGAAGCAGCAGCGACAGGACAGCAGCACGCAAGAGATAGTAGTGACTGTGCTTTTCGTTGAACTGAGGGTTCCGAGCGCTTGGCAATGGGAGCGCGCGGAGAGTGGTGTAGTTCCGAGAGCCTGCTGAAGGCGAGGCCGGCGCAGAAAAAGGGCAGATCATCTCTTGTGCATAACCCTCGCCGTGCGATCGATGTTGAACAAAGCCGCTTGCAGCGCGGATGGATCCAGTCGAAAGTCTAGTTGAATTTTTACAGAACCCACAGCTGCTCTTGTACCCGACCAACACGCAGCTTGCTGCTGTGCTGCACCTCTCCAGCATCGCTGCAGCTTCTAGGAACCACATGTTGACGCTGTAACAGAGGCCTGGCCACAGCACGCTTGCCATGAGCACGCTCACGCAGGGGCAGTGCTGCTCTACTCTGTGTGACGTTCATATTTTTTTTGGCCACTTTTTTTTTTTGTGCAATTTACGGGGGGCGGATTCAAAAGATTGGGAAGTCAAGGACACTACAGCAACCGCAGAGCAAGCCGGTTTCTGTCGAGTGCCGCGCCGCCACGCTCGGCGCAATGCACGCCAACAACTCCTGCTCGCGTCGCGCCGTGGCGTGCATGAATGCGTGTGTTTTCTGTCACACGAGTGTTTGCTCCGCTGCTGTTGAACCCCCGACTTGATTCCCTCTAAACAACACTGACATCTCGACTTCAACCTGTGCCTGCTGCGCGCCTGTTAACCGCCACTCCGCTCCTCGCGCTTGGTTTGAACTCCGCGCAACAATCCCGCACAACGACAATCGGAATGGTGGCGGGCGGCGGACGGCGCGCGGCGGCGGCGGCGACGGCGGGCTTACAGCGACCCCATGCGCATCACCAAGAAGTTCGCGGGAGCGTCGTGCATCGGGAAGAGGGTCTTCATGCCGGTCGAGCGCACGCCTGAGAATCTCATCGAGACCCACCGCAGCCGGCGCGAGCTGGAGGAGATGGCCCGCAAGTTCCACATCCGCCTGGAGAGCATGCGCCCAGGCGCCAGCCGAACATCCTCCTCCTCGGGGGCGGGGGGGGGGGGGGGCTCCCCCAAAACGGGTTCTTTGGCCC